ACTACATTAAACAAATAAAGTGTAAACTGTAAAGTTTAAACATAATAAACTTTGTTGTTGAATATTATATCTTGTATGAAAATAACTACATAGTATTAAGTTATTAACTAAACAAAAAGATCATGTTAAGAAAAAAGTGTTTTTTTTAACTTTTAATATCTGAAGTGTAATGTAATTGTCACTTCCAGATTCACCACCTAAATTACAAAGTAGTATAAAACTACTATTTTACAATTAAATTAAAGCTGCTAATCCCATATACTACGTAGTATTTTTGGCCTCAGATCCAACAATGAGAAAAAGAAGAGGAAGATTGGAAGACTTAAAGCAATGAACCCTTTGTTTAAGGAATGAAGTAAAAACTTAAGAGTAACAAACATAAAATTGTTAGAATAAACCGCCATCTACTTCTACTCAAAATTGAAAAAACCGGATGCAATGGTATACTTTACATCTCAGTTTGGATGTTTTTGCAATACCAAGTCCTAAAACAATGAAATAAGTAGTGCACAACTCACAAGTTCAACACCAGAAACTTATACAGTATATGAAAAGGAATACTACCTTATCCCCAGCTGCCTGAAGAAACCCAGCAAGATGGTAGGGAAGTCCCACAAAATAGAAAAAAAGCTTACTAAAACAGTAATTTTATCTTCTAAAATCATTTCAGGATGCTTAGCAAATGAAAAGTAAACTATTCAATTTCCTAAACTAGTAAAATAGAAGTGTCCATGGCTTCCTCAAAGTAGAATGCATGTTCTAAGCTTGTTGTATATACGAGATGATCCACTGAAAAGGGAAACCAACTTAAAGGTTTTCATGATTATCGATTTTTTGAATGAAATTAAAGAAAAATAACTATGGTTATTTACTTAATTGTCTGGCTCAATTAGGTAACAAATTGCATAGTAGATGAAAGACAAATGAAAGAGTTGGAGCAACTAGGCCGGCTACAATAGTTGGACTAAGTTTTACACTTTTACTTTAGTTTATCCTACAGGGCTACAACAAAACAGAATCAAGTATCAACTATGAATAAAGATGGTAATGAAAAACTGTAAATAGTACTCCGTACTATGTAAAAAACAACATCCATTCAAATTGCAATACAACTTATTGCATACCTTGTTGCTAATGAAAAATAGGCTAAGAAATTTCAAATAAATTATTAGTTAAAGTTTGCAATGCTTCCTTGAGGAATTTTATCAAGCACCATTGATGCATTCAACAATGAGTATCCTTCTAGACACTGGAGTATTAACTCAATGCCCATGTCAGAGTCTTGGTGAAATATAATGCAACCGGCTTACCAAACTAACCTTGAAAGCCTACTCAAAAAGCTTAATTAATTGAGCTGACATATACTTAAGAGTATACTAAGTTACTAACAAATAGAAATACTAAAATATTTCAGTTTAATCCAAAATCCAGGCACATTAGAAATACAAAGGCACATTAGAAATACAAAGGTCTGAACATATAGTAACAAATTCTCAACTAAGCACATATTTTTGAACTACCGTAATAGCCATAATAACACGATGAAAATATCTTTAGCTCTTTACCTGGACTGCTGGACAGAGTGGAGAAGGCTGAGAAGCTGATTCAATACTCAAAAAGAAGGAAATCCGTAAATGGAAGAGAAGAAGACTCAGCACTCGTTCACTAGGGCTGTCGTTCCATCGCAGAGGAGAAAGCGCAGTATTTTGCGAAGAGATGAAAGCCGTCCTCATCATCTGGGCGGTAAAAAAATAAAATTCGCAACTTTTATTTAAAGGTTTTGGCGGCCGATAAATATCTATCCTAGGCGTCCGATTTCAGAGCGATTACTCGGTCTGGGCGGCCGATTAATCGGCAGAGCGATTACAGGTCCGAAAAGAAGAAAATCAGTGCGGGAGATTGCCGCCTAGCGAGTTTACGGCGCCTAGGCGGCCGATTTTTCCGATTTTTAGAACCTTGATGATGGATAAGAATAATCTTAATAGTATTGAAATACTAGTTAATGATTGTTGTAATTGTTGAAGAATTGAATCTAAGGATTTGATTGTAATTGATGAACTTGATTGTGATGCAAGTGACTAAATTGATGTAATGTGATGCTAAGACCATGGTTGGGCAGTCCGTGAGGATGTCCCTAAATAGATTATTGATATTACAATTCTAGGCATAGCGAATGCTTGGGAATTGGGGTCTATGCCAATGTAAGGAGATGTACTTGAGCCGCGCTCATAGAATTGCATTGGGTAGACATGATGGGGTGATTGTTGTGCATGGTGATGTAGTTGAGTTGGACTCAAGAAATGCACGGTGGAGTAGTTAACTTGGGTTAAATAAGGTGCATGGTGATGTAGTCGAGTTGGACTCGAGAATGCAAATATATGTGTTAGGGTTGAACCCTATATATTGTTGTGACTAGGGGTCACGGGGTTTGGGCTATGTTTGATAAACAAACCTTGGGCCTACGGGCCGACTACTTGACTTTATATATAAAGTAAGTATATTTTAAAAACGGGGTAACTTGGGGTTACGGCCTAGATTATATTATCACCCTATTTGAGGGTCTTGTGTTTGAAATACTTGTTGTATATCTATTAGATGCCATCCACACTAGCACTTTATAGCCCTATAGAGTGCTGACCCCTTCGGGGGCGTCCCACCACCATTTTTCAGGTTGAGGCTAGAGCTTGCTTCCTGTGCTCGTTGCTCGAGAGATCATCTAGGAGGGAAGACTTGGTTCGTGCTTCCTCCATTCGGTTTTTAAACATTAACAAACATGCTCATGAATATTTTACTATAGAGCCTGCGTGCTCATGTTAGCCACGTGTGGCATTTGTTTTCAAACTATGTTTTCCGCTACGTATTCGATTGCTTATTATGTTGTTTATGGATGGCTTGCGTGTGAGTGATATTCTAGACGCCTTGTATAATATGAACGTGTTGGACTGCGGTTGACTATTCATATTGTACGGCGGGTTGTTGACGTGTCCGGGGAGGTCCGGGGCGTGACACATATATATATATATATATAATTTGGATCGAATAAAAAAAGTCTTAACGTGTAAAATGAGAATTAATCTCAGCCGTCCAAACTGTCGATCTGATGCACAATAACCCCTATCTGATGCACTTTCGAATAGACCTTATTTGATGCACTTTTCGTCTTCTCATTTGAACTCATCCCTATATACATATATGCATACATATACATACATACATACATACATACATACATACATACATACATACATACATACATACATATAGGGGAAAGATCAAGTACAAAGTGTGCTTATTGTGCAAATATTTGTACGATGCATCTTGACGTTATTTGTATTGCATATTGAGGTTCAAAGTGTTGCATATTATATACTCATAAAATAGTAGTCGCACATTAACGTTCAATGAGTTGCACCATAGAAAAGTTAGGTTTTATTACAAAAATGTTACATTGCCTTTATATCCTTTAGATCAACTCATCCGATAACCACGATAAGTTTGTATTTTGTAAATTAAGCATGGTTTGTATTTGATCTCTATTTTATATATATATATATATATATATATATATATATATATATATATATATATATATACACTCCCTCCGTCCCAAATTGTTTTGCAAAGTCAACATTTTTTGGTCAACCAATTATAAAAGTCAAACCTCCTTATCGATAATTAACTCAATTTTGAATAATTAAAATTTATATATTCAAAATTACATTAAATTTACTTTAAAGTAGTAAACTCCAAATTAGAATATAATAAAAAATTAGCATCCTAATTAAGCAAATAAAATGAAACTATTTGACCAAGAAAAGTCAAATTTCAATTCGGGACGGAGGTAGTATTAGATAGAGAACTTCTTGATCGCGTAGGAAATCACGCTTGGAACCGTTTTCAGATTACAAGGAGTGCAACGCTGGCCTCGAGAAACCGAACACTTTTTTTTCAATAGATTTAATATTTTATTGTTTAGCTTTGGGTTTCATCCGTCATTAGCTGTTCTCTTTCATTAGCTTTTGTGCTTTTCCATGAGTTTTACTAAAAATTTCTTTCCTTAAAAAAACTGCTGCTTTTGCCTACATTGTTGCACATAGTAAAGTAGGAAGAATGCCTCAAGTAGGACTAAAACTCATTCATTTTGAAAAATAGGACCAAGTAGTTAATACGTCCATAAATAGTGATTTTTATTTGTGATTGGACAAAAATATTTTTATAGGGTTGGAGCTGTTGTCCCAGGTCGTCAGACCGCCAACTGCCGCCATGCCAGGGTTTTGCACGGTTGCCATCACCAAGGAGTAATCCGTAGAAAAGACTGATATTATAATTAATATTAAATGTCTTGGTATATATATCATTTTTAGGAAATTAAATCAATTGTCTAAAGTGATGTACTGCACTTAATTTTGGACTTAACCATATTATATAGACCGATACACTCACTAAAAAGAAGTTAAAGAAGCCAATAAAAAGGGAACCTTGAAACAAGAATAAAGGAATATATTTAGGGAATTGTCATATTTTTATTTTCTAAATAAAATTAATATTTTCCAAGTTATAATTATGTGACTTTAAATATGACAATTTTTTCCAAGCTTGAAAATATTACTAGCAATTAAAAGATGAAAACATCAAAATTTTATTTCCATTCAAAATGTTTTTACTCTTATTCAGAGAAATTACTCTATATTAAAACTACTCCCTATGTCCCTTATAACTTTGCCAACTTTCCTTTTATAGATGTCTCATTAACTCTGTCACTTTCCATTTTAAGTAAAAACTTTGTGGTTCCAGTTAATTCTCTATCCTCTACACAAAACTCAAACACAATTTTTTACTTTATTAATTCTCGTGTCGGTCAAACTTGTCAAGTTATTAAGGACGGAAGGAGGAAAAAACAAACAAAAATAAGCAAAAAAGAGATACGAACTATATGGGGTAAATTCTACTCGCTGAGTATAAATACCCTCCTGAACCAGCAACCACCCTAACACCCTTCATATAACGGCAGCTTTCTTCTCTCTCTTTTCTCTGTCTCTCACTCTCTCTCTTATCAACTAGGAATGGCGGAGACCTGCGGCGGCGAGGGGCGGAGCAGCGGCGTGAGGCAGTATGTCAGGTCAAAGGTGCCTCGACTCCGGTGGACTCCCCATCTTCACTCTTGCTTTCTCCATGCCGTCAATGCCCTTGGCGGCCACCACAGTAAGCACGGCTTTCTCTTTCTCTATATCTCATTCTTCCTTTAGTCTTTTTGGGAATCAAAATTAAATGTTGGGTTGCCGGCGGCAGAGGCGACGCCGAAGCTGGTGCTCCAAATGATGAACATTCCCGACCTCACCATCTCTCATGTCAAAAGCCATCTTCAGGTTTTGATTTTTCTTTTATTTCCAATTTTCATACGGAGTATTTTGTACGTAGTATATAATCATTTCCTTTGGAAACAGATGTACAGGAGCTTGAGGCCTGGTTTGGCAGAGCAAGGTAGTGATTTTTTCCATTTCTTTTCAAGATCATCATTCGAAAAAGGGATTGATTTTTTCCGATCTCTCCATTTTTTTTTCGGTACAGTCAACCATCCACCTTCTGCTTCCTCTCCTTCGTCATCATCGTCTCTCCTCCTTCACAACTTCTCTCTGCCGGCGGCGGCACGGCCGGTAACTTCCCACCGGAAAAGAATGTGCGGCGGCGGCGAAGAATGTATCTTTAGTGGTGGGGTGAAGGAGAATAATGGGAAAGGTGGTGGGGGAGAGGGATTAAGAAGGGAATGTCCGAGTCACAGTCTTCTAGACTACGTCTCACTCGGAGCTCAGCCCATACCTTCTTCTTACCTGAGTCTTCATCAGCCAGAAGTTGACTTTTTCAAGGTACCCTAATTAATTATGCAAATTCTTTTTCTCAAATGTCTTCCTTTTTTTGTTTCCATTTTAAACTGGAATGTCTAACTAATTAATAAAGTTTGATAAGACGGAAGACCGTAACTAGATTTTAATTGCATGAATTGAAATTATTCCCTTCACGCTCGGATCATATACTTGGTATTTGATATTTTTTTTTAAAAATCATACTCTGGAGTATACGCTCGGAGTATATGATTTTTTTTTGGTATATGATTTTTAAGTGGCAAATTGGGGAATTTTCACATTTTATATGTTTTACGTCGACTACATTGTATTAATTATTTTATTATAAATTAGGTTTTCCAAAAATATTGTTCAAATTCTTTTCATTTTAAATTTTCAAATTCTTAATTTTTTTATATTTTTTCGTCACAAAAAGTGAAAAATATTAATGGTCAAAATTCTACATTGTCAAAACATGAAACGTGGAACGTTAGAACTAAAAAAGAATAGAGGAAGTATATATTGTATCGGGAACCCACCCAAATGACGAAGGCTGGATAGAGCCTCCTATATAAGGGGTGATTTACACTTTTTTGGTTAGTTTGAAGACTTATTTGCCCATTTTCCCTATTTAATGCAAGTATATTTTTTCCCATTAATGGAAACTTTATTGTAACTTTATAGTAAATAAATGGAATAATTTAATAAAGTTTAATTAATAAAGGTGATGAGTAATCTTGTTGATGAGTAATTAAAAACTATTCATTCGTATTAATTAATAGTTAATGATGAGTACTAATACATACAAAATTGAGAGTAGTTGTGATTTAAGAGCAGCGATGGCAATGCATTAACTGCGTTAGCTGAGTAAATCCTGCATCTAAATGAGGGCCGTTTTATAACAGGAGAAGAATATTTGACTGTACTCTTCATTTCTGAGTTCACAGTGGTCCTTCTTTTGGTACTCCGCAGATGAATTTTAATTAAATTACACCGAGTGTTTCTTTATGAAACATCATTTTGTAAACATCATTGGTACATGTCTCTTATTTTGCCTCTCTACATATTTGACTTTTAAAGTTGGTGTTAAACTTCATGATTTATACACGTTAATAAGGATAATATGAAAATACTAAAAGTTAGAATAATAGATAAAAGTTTACCATTTTTGAATGGAAAAGTCAAAGATGACTAAATAAAAAGGGATAGAAATAATAGCGTCCATTTTTCATAAGAATGTATTTTTTTTCCAGAAAATGTACTAAATCATCTATGTAACGTATAAAAATGATTTTTTTTGAAACGTATGGTTCAACCATAACGGATGATCTATAATAAAATTGTTTCGTCATCCGTAATTTCATCAAGCTCAGCAGCTTCAAAACAACATTAATAGTCTGTGTTACGATTGAAGCAGTATTATTATCGATTGAAATAAAATAGTCATTTAGTATATATAACACTAAAATTGTTTGAATAGACTGAATCTACTGACATTGATGAAATTGTGGTTGAACTCTTATTGATGATGTCGCAAAATCTATATTTTCCGTTCTTAACTCTATTTAGTTCGCTTAGTAACACCAGAATTGCTTGAATCGAATAAATACTCTAAAATTAATTAAATTTTGCTGAACCGGTATTATTACTCATCATCGATAATGGTTGAAACATAAGTTCCAAAAATACAATGATATATAGTCTTTTAAAGACGATGTATAACATTTAGAGGTTACAAATTATGAATAATGTTGTTGTGAGATTCAATTTTAGTAGCATTGAATTTGACTGAATCGACTGAATTTGAAGAAATTTTGACCGGACCGGACATTTCTATTACTATTATTCATATATCATCGGTTACACGGTTTAGTGATTCGTTTAATTAACACATGAAAAATATAGGCTTTAAAGGCAGTGTGTAATGCTTAGCGGTTACAGACTATTACTAATGTTGCACAACTCAGTTTTGTCTTTAACTTCATTTTAGAGTCTGTTTAGGAACATTGGAATTTACTGAATTGACTAATCCTGTTGAAAGATACATTTCTAACATAAATGATATATAGGCTTTTAAAGATGGTGTATAATGTTTGAGGTTACAAATTATGATTGATGTTTTTGTAAGATTCATTTTCAGTAAAACTGAAATTGAGTAAATGAACTGAATTTGATAAAGTTTGGACTGAAGCAGGCGATATTATTATTCATCATCGATTACGGTTGAGTGATTCGTTTCACACATGAAAAATATAGGCTTTTAAGGCGGTTATGGACTGTTATTAATTGTTTCATTAGTTTGCATTTAAATAGTGAAACTCGATCACTCATAACACTATACAACAACCTGGCCCATCATCAGGTGACCCATTTTCATTATTTTAGCATCCCAGCTCAACTCCCGATTTATGCTAAATGTGCTTATTGGATGGATTATTTTGGAATCCCTTCTTTCAGAATTTAGTTTTATTTTTTAATTTTGGGGTTAAACCTAGCCCGAATTCGTTATTGTAATTGTTCTCTTCTTTAATAATATCCTGACAAATGTTCCCTGGCATTTGTCACACGGATTTTGGTAGTTTGCCTTCCGGGGCAAAAAAATCTCTATACAACAACCTCCAAACTTTATTGAAAAAAGTGTTGGAGTCATCTAACATGAAAGCATAGTGAAAAAGGAAAGAAAAAGAAAAAAAATATAAGATAATAAAATAGATAAAATAATGATATTAATAACTCAATGAGGGTTTAAAAACATGTTGATTTGTATGTCTTAAAAACAAGTGGACTGCATTGTTTTCTTAAATTTGAGTATGTACGAGTATGTATCATGAGAATATTCTCATATTAATATTTGATAATGTCTAAACATGATAATGTTATTTTAGGTTTAGAGTATTAACTCTTATTTAGATAGAGTAAGCATTGTGCTCTCATTTAATATAGAAAATCACTTTTTTTATATAGAGAAAATTTCAAATGTTTTAATAAAAAGAAATTATCTAAATGAAAGCAAAAACAAGACAATTTTTCAAAAATAGGGAAATCCGAGTATACTTCTTTGTCATTAACTAGGAACAAATACTCTCATTTAGAAACAATATTGTCTCACATTAACATTGTCATAGTAGTTTTTGGCAATGCTATGTTGTTATGGTAGTACAAGAATATCCCCATTTGGGGAAAATACATATTTATGATGTTTAGTAAAAGTGTAAAACAGTTCTATGTACTATCGTATGTATAGAGTAGGATCGTGTAAGTGATAGGACCCGCCTTCCCACTAAATCCATTTGGGGTCCTTCCCGATATAATTGTTTGATAAATTTTTTGAGCATGTTTTTTTTATCAAATCTAGTTCAAGCCCACCAAATTTAACTTAAATTTCAATCGGAGAGGTAGTAAAATATATTATTTAAAACATTTTGCTCTTTATATACTCCCTCCATATTTAAAAGTTCACTACACTAGTTAAGGACACAATATTTAAGGATAGAATAGTAGGAGTAATGAATAGTGTAGAAAAAGTAGTAGAGAGTATGTAAAGTATGAAAGCAAAGATATATAAAAAGTAGAAAAAGTAAGGGCAATTGAGTAATTTTAAAGGGAAAACTTAACAAAAAGAGAAAATGTATCTTTTAAATACATCCGAAAAAGGAAAGTGTAACAAACTTTTAAGTACAGAAGGATATGAAATTTCCTCTATATTTATGTAGTGTAAATGTAGTGCAAAGTGTAAACTAATAAAAAAATAGTGTAAATGTAAATATTCTACCAAATACCTTCGACTTTAAAATTTAAAGCCTTACATTGTTTTAAAGAACTCCGACTCCCAAGAAAACTATATTAGCCACCTCCTATATTACCTATATAAGACGTGTGAATTTGGCCGTTTGGGAATTGGGAGCTTGAAATTATGAAATGTACATTTCTTCTTTCCGTTACAAAACATGAACACTTTAATTTATTAGTTTATCTCCAATTAGAATGTTTACATTTTGTTGTCTCGTACCTCCTTTTCATTGTTTTTGGTATTTAAAATTGAAAATTACAACTCCGTTCTATTTTATTCTCTCAAAACTAACCCATATACATTTTAACCTTACGAAATGGTGGGAGTAACTATTTTTCTATGCAATTATTATACCATATTCCTAAAGTAACTTTTGTATTGTTGGCTTTTCATCCTCTGGATTTCAACTTTCAAGCAGGTTGCTCAGCAAAATGAAGAAAAATTGAAGTCACCCTCAAAGAAATGCAAACGTGAGAGTAATCAAAATAATGGCGGATATGGAGGCGAGAAAGGAGAGGGAGGGTGTCACAGTACATTGTCATTGGCTCTCTCACTCGCACCACATCCCGCTGTCCGTTCGCCGACAAGTGAGATGAGTGAAACAATCTCGTCCCTCTCTTTCTCTGATTTAGGAGCTGTGAAGCCTAATGTCAATCTTGAGTTGTCTATTGCTTTGTGTAGAGACTGATTGTTAATGTATATTCATCATGATAAAGATGAATTGTATGTAAATTCATTAGTCTGTGTTTTTTAAATGGAGGGATTCTGTTTTGACATGTAGATAATCTATTATATTTGTTTCTATTTATTTATTTATTTATTTATTTATTTTGTAAAATGAGCAAGAATATGGGCCTATGGGGTACGGTAATATTGTTTTTTCACAAAGTAAGAGACCATTTTCATGCTAGAGTAGGTAAATATTTAAGTCCTATATTGGTATCTGCTAAAACCTTGCAAGAAAAATCTACCGGAGAAGACAAACGATGTGGCTCACAATTTGTGTCGCCACTGCTATAAAGTACATAGTACTCCGTACAGCCAGGACGGATCCAGGATTTCTATTCAAGGGGGGCGAAATTTTTCGGTAGTGTAGGGGGTGAAAAAAATTTCGTTAGTGTAGTGGGGCGAAATTTTTTTCCCTACTGTAGCGGGGGCTAATTTTTTCCGCTACTGTAGGGCTATGCGGCTAATTTTATTCAAAAAATGACATTAATACATACATATCCCCAACGACATTTAAATCTATTAAGTAGTACATTCTAAGTTTAAATTAGACGATGACAAAGACATCAACCAATACATTTTTAATAACTTCTACATTGTTTAACCTCATGAATCGGTTATTATTGAATTGTAATTTTTGTTCGGCCACCAAGGAGGGTGTTCGTGAGTCATGACTCATGAGAAGTTTTCTTAATATTACAATAGTAGTATGTATGATATTACTACGTATTATATTTTAATATTTGTATTAATGCTATAATAATTTAAAGTTTATTATCTATGCAATAAATTATTTTTAGAAAGCAAGAAGTAAATGAATTATGTAATTTAATGTCAATAAACATTTATATTTTGGATTCATTTCACGTGATCTAAAAACTGTGTAATTAGTGTATCTGACATTTAATATTGTTTGATATATATTTTACAAAATCAAGTACTTGTTATCTAATAAAGATAATTAAACATTACAAAACTATGAATTCTTATATAATAAGTATCCTAAATCTTAAACAACGAGTTATTCTATTGTTTATTTGTTTAAGTTATGTAATTATTTTAGATATTCCTTCTTTTAAATCTGCAATTAAGTATTACATTATGTAACCCTATATATTAATTTTGAAAATTAAAAGTTAAGGGGGGCGAATCTAATTAAATTATGAAAGTTTTATGAAAATATTACATATATGGTAGAAATTTTTGAAAGTCCAAGGGGGGCGGTCGCCCCCCCGCGCCCCCCCTAAATCCATCCCTGCGTACAGCATACCTAATTGAATGATATAATATATGGCAAATAAGGCTTAGACCTTATGATCTGTAGCCGTGTGTATTTATAAATTATAATACATAGAGAGCATGTGTATGTAGCTGAGTTTGTTACAAATGATAAGAATGAATTACAAGATAAGTGATAAAATACATGTAAAGTTGGAAAGATAAATACAAGTGTTTTACGTAGATAATGTGTAACAATAATAATTCTATCATGCCCCGCAAGTGAGAGTGGTCTTGGGAGAACACCGAGCTTGGATCTGTGAGATAGGAACAATTGATGAGCAAGTGATTTTGTGAGAGAATCAGCAAGTTGGTCCTGTGTGTATGAACATGAGCGACTCGAAGAGATCCATTCGCAATTTGTTCACGAATAAAATGCAAAACTACAGCAACATGCTTCATGCGTGAGTGAAAAACAGGATTAGCACAAACATAAGTAGCAAAACTAAATGTAAATGTTAGTGCAAACAATCCGAAATCGGAAATCATGAATTGGTAGATTGACTTATAATTTTTATAAATTTGTAGATTGGTGTGTAATTTTTCAAAAGGTATTTTGAATTAATCACAAATTTATCACTAAAATAAAGCGACCTCTTAATACGCAAAGTGGTCTGATGGTATCACTGCTGATCTCCCAAAGACGATATCGCAGGTTCGAGTCTCATCCTAATCAAGGAGGTTAGCATTAACAAGAGTAGATACTATTATAAGTTTAGAAGAATGTTCCAAAAAAAATGTTACTTCAGTCATAGCAATTTATGTTCAATTGTTATACTCACTGTTCTAAAAATCGGCCTAGTCGGACCAATTAATCGGCCTAGTCGGACCGTTTAATCGGCCTAGTCAGCCAAAAAATCGGTCTAGTCGGCCAAAAAATTAAAGAGGTCTAGTCGACCAAAAAAGCGGTCTAGATGGCCGACTAGGCGCTAGGCGCCCCTCAACCGCCAGACTAGCGTCTAGCGAGTTTTACAATAGCCAAAAATTCGGTCTAGTTGGCCAAAAAAGCGGTCTAGTCGGCCGACTAGGCGCTAGGCGCCCCTCAACCGCCTGACTAGCGTCTAGCGAGATTTACAACAATGGTTATACTTAAGTAGTCATGACACTATACTATACTACATTGACTAGGCGCTAGGCGCCCCTCAACTGCCTGACTAGCGTCTAGCGAGATTTACAACAATGGTTATACTTAAGTAGTCATGACACTATACTATACTACATTGACTATTAAGGACAAATAGCGAGAAATGGTTTTGTTGTTTACCTGTTTATTACCCCATTAAATGCCGGATGGATTCTTACAAGTTATATATAATAGATCAGATTTAAAGATCTCCCTCACTTCACTTTAAATTATAAACAATTATGAGCAAAATAAAAAAATCATCAATTCTAATGATTAAACTCAATTGTAATTTAATTAGAAATCAATTTCAGTTGATATAACACTACGTTATTAGTACTAATGTAGGTGGTTTTGTTGTTTACCCGTTTACCATGTCTCACCATCATGGAATTGAATGTGGAAAGATTAAGGTTAGGTGTCTGACTTTGGTTTGTAAGTTGTATTCCTAGATCTCTTTATATTAGTTACAAGCTTTACCATATCTGTAAAGATGAAGAGTTTGATATTCATTGAGTCTTTCTATCAATCCATTCTATACTTTCTTCTTCTTTCTCCTCTTGTATCCATTAGTTTTCTTAATACGTCCTGAGAGCGTTAAGAACTTAGTATCGAACGGCGTTTATCAATTAAATAATTTTCATGTGATTAAGCCTGATCAGCCTCGAAATCCGATTACATCGGAGTCAATCCCGTTTCTCTTTCGTCATTAATTAGAAAGAACCTATTAATTTAGCTGCTTTTTCGCATTAGTTAATTTCCCAAAAATCCAAATCTCGCACAATTGCATTTTATTTTATTTGTTTTAACTGCTGAATTTGGTTAATTCCTGACTCTCCTTTTCGTCCCTGTGGAGACGATACTCATACTAAAACCCTTTACTACTACATTTTTATTTGTGCGAGAAAACTCACATCAGTTTTTGGCGCTATTGTTGGGGACGGTGTCGATTTTAAAGTTAATTAATTTCAGCGACTTGTTTTTAGTTTTTCGTAGGATTTTTCTCTTCAAATGCTAAATAATCATCTTTCATTATCTTGTCTCTCCCAAAAAAACTAAGGAACCATCAACATCTACTTTAAAAGAGAAGAAAACGTCTTCTTCATTTGTTTGCATGTTCCTAAAAATGGTAATCAGGGTATTTGTAGACATCACGCAAAACGAAACCAACAAAAGGAGATCCACCAGCTTCAGCTTGTAGACAACGAAAACCATCAACTATTTTTACTCCTATATTTCTCAAATGATTCAAATAGGTCAACTCAGAACAAGAAACATCACGATGAGACCTCATGTGATGAACTAAAGAATCAGGCAGAAATAGTTATTGAGATCCATAAGATCTCAAAATAATTTTTTTCTTTGCAACATGTACGATCAACTTTGGTGAATAGCTTACCATGTACACCTTTTTTCTTCATAAAGCCTTGTTTAGTACAACAAAATTTTCTGCCTCTAACATCACAACCACCTTCTTTCTTCCTTAGAGTAGAATAACAAACTCTAAAGCCTATCCTATAAGCATATTCATTATACAAATCAAAAGCTTCTTTCGCAGATTAAAACAGTTTTTCCAAGGAGTTCAGAAACTTCAGCTTATTTAACTAAAGTAGTATCTATGGAAAGGGAAGCATCAGATTGTTCTATAGGATCAGAACTAGAAGAATGGCTAGCTGCATAAAATAAAGTATTGAAGCTAAAATAATAAAATATAAATCAAAACAAAGAAGATGAATATCAGGATAGAAACAATACTTGTAAAATCAACAACGTTTCTACTAAAATGAACATCTTCACTTAAATCAGCAATAGTACTCAAATGATCTGGATGATGAGAAAAACTAAAAAAAATAGATATAATTAATCCCTCCGTCCCAAATCGTAAGACAATTTATAGTTTACGATGTTTGATCGGCGATAAAGTAAACGGATCCCTGTCCGCACTGAAATTATTATTTAGAAAAAATACATATTCAGAAACTACATTAAGAGCTTTACAAAATCGCAAAAACCAGAATCAAATTTGATAAAAAAAATTATATATAAAGTAAGAGATTAATAGTGATTTACGTTGACCAAGTGAATATGAAACATATTTTACAAAATGGGATTGAGGGAGTACATTTTTATGACTAAAACTAAGTTTGTCTACAAAAATGTGACTAATGACTAGAGTAGTAATGAAATCATAGTAACTTATATTCAATTTTTATACTTAAGTTACTATTACACTACATTGTAGTAAGTATTAATCATATTTATGTAAATGAGTTTTATTTTGGTAATATTTATGTAAGAACCCCAAAAATTTATTAAAACGCAAATCAAATCAGAACAGACAAAAAGAGAATGATACGAAAGTAAAAGAAATACTTGAATCAAGTATAAATATGTCGTCTTTGGATTCAATGTCTTCAATGAACTGTCCAGTAAAGGAATTTCATCTGGAAAAAGTGATAAACCAAATACATAGAGCTAATGCTTATTGACCAACAACTAAAACATCATGATGTTTTATCAATTAATCAAAGTGCTATAGTAAATTGAAGAAGAAATACCTGAAAAAGTAGACATAGCTACTAATCGTAAACCTGCACAATAAATTAAAAATGAGTCAATAATCTACTAATCATATTAAATAGTGAAGAAACATTAAAA